TGGAACCCCCATGTGGATGTCAAGGGGCTGGAGGATGCAGCAGGGACGGGGTTGTGGCAGTGTAGACGGGGTAGAAGTAGAGGGCGGAGGCAAGAGGGATGAAGTGGGAGACAAAAGGAAGGGAGTTCCTCTGGTCGCTATGTGGAGGGACCTGGCGCCAGTAAAGGGTGCAGGCAAGAGACGAGGTAGGTGGTAGGGCAGAACACATGGTGACTCCACGGCGTGCTGCATCGGCTACGTGGAATTCCCAATGTGAGGAGGGTAAACATTAGAGATATTAAAGGGTGTGCAGAGGGCATGGTGATTCCACGGTGTGCTGCATCGGCTACGTGGAACCCCCATGTGGATGTCAAGGGGCGGGAGGACGCAGTGGATGTTAAGGGGCTGGAGGACGACGCAACAGAAAGGACATGGCGCCAGTATAGGGTGCAGGCAAGAGATGAAGTAGGTGGTAGGGCAGAACACATGGTGACTGTACGGCGTGCTGCATCGGCTACGTGGAATTCCCAATGTGAGGAGGGGGCAGGGATGGGGTAAGCGTTAGAGATATTAAAGGGGGTGGGGCAGACAGAGGGCATGGTGACTCCACGGTGTGCTGCATCGGCTACGTGGAACCCCCATGTGGATGTTAAGGGGCTGGAGGACGCAGGGACGGGGCCATGGGAGTGTAGACGGGGTGGAGAGGTTTACTTGGGGTGGCAGTGGGACATGGTGCAGGCAAGAGATGAAGTAGGGCAGGCGTGCTGCATCGGCTATGTGGCATCCCCAATGTGAGGAGGGGGCAGGCAGTGGGACATGGCGCCAGTCTAGGGTGCAGGCAAGAGATGAGGTAGGTGGTAGGGCAGAACACATGGTGACTCCACGGCGTGCTGCATCGGCTACGTGGAATCCCCAATGTGAGGAGGGGGCAGGGATGGGGTAAGCGTTAGAGATATTAAAGGGTGTGGGGCAGACAGAGGGCATGGTGATTCCACAGTGTGCTGCATCGGCTACGTGGAACCCCCATGTGGATGTTAAGGGGCCGGAGGCGGGGCCGTGGCAGTGTAGACGGGGTAGAAGTAGAGGGCGGAGGCAAGAGGGATGAAGTGGGAGAGAAAAGGAAGGGAGTTCCTCTGGTCGCTATGTGGAGGGACATGGCGCCAGTATAGGGTGCAGGCAAGAGACGAGGCAGGTGGTAGGGCAGAACACATGGTGACTCCACGGCGTGGGAAGGGGTAAGCATTTGAGATATTGAAGGGTGTGGGGCAGACAGAGGGCATGGTGATTCCACGGTGTGCTGCATCGGCTACGTGGAACCCCCATGTGGATGTTAAGGGCGGGAGGACGCGGCAGGGACGGGGCTGTGGCAGTGTAGACTGGGTAGAAGTAGAGGGTGCAGGCAAGAGGATGATGAAGTGGGAGACAAAAGTGCAGGCAAGAGACGAGGTAGGTGGTGGTAGGGCAGAACACATGGTGACTGCACGGCGTGCTGCATCGGCTACGTGGAATCCCCAATGTGAGGAGGGGGCAGGGAGGGGGCAAGCGTTAGAGACATTGAGGGTGTGGCGCAGACAGTGGGGCCAGTAGAGGGTGCGAGCAAGAGATGAGGTAGGTGGTAGGGCAGAACGCCTCCACGGCGTGCTGCATCGGCGGGGAACCCTCATGTGCAGGTTTGATTGGGTTTGAGGGGGAGGCGCAAGTAAAGGTGCTGGGGGGCAGAGAGAAGGTATGGTGATGCAAAACACGCATGAGCATTGGGGGGGGGTGCATATAGAAAGCAGGGTCACTCCACAGTCTGCTGCAAGCTAAGATGTGATGGAAGACGTGCTGCGCTCGTTTGGGCCTGGCGTCACAAGTGGAAACGAGCGCGGAGAAGTAGGCCAATCGAGGCTCGGCGAGCAGCCAGCCGCGATGCACCGGGGGGTCTCCAGCGGCGATGTAGAACGATTTTTGTAGAAGCCAAGAGGTGGTTGGAGACTGAATGATGCTAGATTTTGTGTTTGTTTGTGATTGGGAGCAGAAGTGGAATGATTTTGTAGAAGCCAAGAGGTCGTTTGAGACTAACTAATGCTAGATTCTGTGTTTGTCTGTGATTGGCAAAGTGGAAATGAGCGTGCAGAAGCAGACATGAGGATGGTGACTCCACGGTGTGCTCCACGGCCTCCTGCCGTCCCTCTGCCCGGGCCAAACGTCACTCCTGAACCAAATGAAAAAATCAAGGTTCTGGCAGGAGTCAGGAAAACACCCTGGCACGGCGTGACGGAACAGCACTGCCGTCCCTCTCCAGGCCAAACGTCGCTCCTGAACCGAATGAAAAAATCAAGGTTCTGGCAAGCAATTCCACTGTTCCAAGGCACAGAGAGCGAGCCAGAAGACTCGCATCGTGGCCCCACGGCGTGACTGCCGTCCCTCTGGCCGACCAAACGTCACTCCTGAACCAATGAAAACATCAAGGTTCTGGCAGGCAAATCCACTGTTCCAGGCACACAAAACAAGCCACAAGACATCCTTCCAATCAGGAAAACACCCTGGCACGGCGTAACGAAACAGCCTCCTGCCGTCCCTCTGCCCGGGCCAAACGTCACTCCTGAGCCGAATGAAAAAATCAAGGTTCTGGCAGGCAATTCCACTGTCCCAGGCGCAAAAAGCAAGCCAGAAGACACCCTTCGAATCAGGAAAACACCCTGGCACGGCGTGACGGAACAGCCTCCTGCCGTCCCTCTGCCCGGGCCAAACGTCACTCCTGAGCCGAATGAAAAAAGCA